AAAAAATGGCTTACAGATTTTTTAATATATACAGTTTTGTAGAATTCGACGAGCTCTATCGAACCATGTAGAAATATCCAAGAAAAAAAATTTACTCCGTTTTAGAATTAATGGTACCTTATTTTTCTACGCCAAAAAAACATAAAATTTCTGAAAATGTTTTAAGTTCGACATTAAAAAGTTTTTATAACCTTTACCATTTAGTACCAATAAATCCCATTTTTGACGCGCTTTGTTTTGATATAAAATTAGTTATGTATACTATTTGAAATTATAGTGTTACTCCCCTGGAATAATATTTTTACCCACCCTGTATTTAGTATTTTAATGTTCTATGTATCATAAGATAACAGATTTTTTCACTGTTTACTAACACAGAGGGACATTCCAAACAATACTGGAGATATAAATTTATAATATAGTAGCAAAACTTCTAAACTTTTTTGCTGGATTAGAGAATACTGAAGTGATGGATTTCCCATTTTTTCTGACGTTCCAATGGCAAGTCAAATCATAACTTTTGTTAAAGATGTTTTTATGTATCATTTCAGTTGAATATTCGAATTACAATTCAAGAAATCGATTGTATTAGTTGCATCACATAGATGTGCCTATTGAATAGGACAAAAAAAAGACTTTTCATATTTTTTCTTTGAATCCTGCAAATTTTTTCGTCTTATTTTGTTTTCTAACAAAATTATGTTATTTTCGTTTTAGTTGCTCGGTATCAGTAAATGTCCCCGTTTCGATGAACTTTTAAGAGACTTAAGAAACAGTGAGCAATTGCTAAACTTGAACAGACAATATCGAGTAACGATTTAAGAGATCTATTCTTTGATTGAAACAAGTCTATTTTTATATTACGATAAATTAATAAAAAGGAATTCTTTGATCAACTCACGATTTGGACAGGTTCGAAAATCAATGACTTATTCAGCGCATTGAGTATTGCCGATGTAATTCTCATTGAGGTAGGATCTACTCATCTTTTATTCTTAGTAGTCTATTTTCGTTCTCTCAAGGATTTGTATAACATTAGTCCCTCATGGGCAAGTCCAAATGTTCTTGAACAACTTAAACAGATACGTGATTTATCATTCTTTTATCGTTTCTCGTCGCCAGAAATAAGTCGATTACGTGGAGGTTAGTAATCTAACACAAAAGAAAGATGAATTCCTACTGTTCATAATTCAATTATTTAGGTCCCATTATTTCTGATATAATGGACAATGTTAAAAGCTTGATGACCAACAAATTAAGTAGCCGAAAAGCAAAGATTTATTCAGGAGTATATTTGATTTATCGAAATTCTTTTTTTGTCTTATTTTTATTCTGTTAATTTTAAGCATGATTCAACTATTGCTGGAGTTTTGTCATTTTTTGACGTCAATTATGCACATCCTCCCTTTTGTAGTACTCTCTTTTTTGATTTGTATTATATGGAAGGTCAGTAAATATAATATTTGATCTTTAGCTTCTGATCATTAACTTTTTTTGCTATAGAAAGTAATACATATGCCTTAAAAATGGAATACATGAATTCGACAAACAGTCGTACGATTCAACAACTTCAATTTCCACGTAAGCTCATTTATGTCTATTATCTATTACTGCTCATTGCCAACTATCGATCAATAGCATGTTCCAATGCAATGTGTCCTGTAGAGCTATTGAAAATATGGCTGAAAAACAGGTTACCTAATATCGATATGAAAAAAGAGTGCATGGCTCAAACATCTTACCGATCACGTAAGTAGATGTTGATTCATTACAATATTAAGAACGAATTTGAATCTCACTTTTCCTTAGTCACACTTCCTATCATCTAAAATATTTGTAATGGTGACCGACGTGTTGGGTTGCTGATGCAAACAATCTTTAAAATCTCTATTCTGAACGACAAACTATTAATCATGATAGGTTACTACTTGATGAATGTAAACACGAATAAATATTTTTATTTTAATAAAAAATGTCCGAATCCTTGCTAAAACCATGGAAATTTAATTCTAGAATTTATTCTGTGTCGCTATATTTAAATGTAACAGGAAGACAATTGGAAATAGAAAATAACTGCCTACATCTGTATCATTATATGCATATATAAAGAGTGTATCCTAGCTATGAAACGGTTTAAACGTCATCGTTCTTGAACTGAACAAAAGCAATTTCTCTGATACTTTCGCAGATTATTATTTCAATTTAGTATTAAAAAACCACTGATATTAGTTTCAACAGCTGTTACTAAGGATGAGGAGCAGTAATCACACTATCATGTTTTGTCTTATCAATTTTCTAAAGGTGTGAATGTGGCTGTGAGTATGGGTTAAGGTGATGGTATGGTTTAGAGTGAACTGGTGTAGATTTCGTTGGCACTAACAAAAATACGCCAACAATCATGCTTTGTTGAGTTATTTTCAGTGATGAGCACCTATCAGCTTACTAGAAAAATTGTTTACCTTGTGCAATATTGAATAAGTTTTTATCGATGTGTAACAAAAGTTCTATTTCTGAGTTATGTGGAATATTAGGTATTAACTTAATGACAAGTCTTTTCTGTGTACTAACTTATAATATGCATGAGTTATTCTAATAGAGTGATTCAACATAGTGAAATTAAAAACACTCTAACAGTTTTTTCTTTTGTTTCATAGAAATAAGAATTATTTTAATGCACTGTTTTAGTATTAGAATTGAAAATAGTACTTGTTATTTTACTTTTTATTATTTACTTTCAATTATTTTTGAAAGTAACTATATTACATAGTAAATACATCAAGAAAAATATCTTTAGCAAAAAATAACAAATCAATTCAATAAAATCTTTTTAATTTTCCAAATAATTAAACTTATTATGAAATAATTAGATTGACTCGAAAAATTACCAAAAGAAACATGTTTGTAGATATCGGTATAAATTACAGTATGAAAATGATATTTGGCATTCAAATAGATATGTTTTGAATCTGAAAACACTTTTTCTTCGTATTAATTATGAAAAACAATGCATGAAATGTCAACGTTGAGATTATAGTTTTTATGTAGGAGATATTCTTCTGGAAATGCATAAAAATAATATTTCGAGTAGAGAATCTACGTAGTATTTTTCATTGTTTACAAATGTAAATGACTTATATGCATTCTTTTAAACAACTACCTTTTTTTCAGATCGAATTTCATTTATGATTACTATCATCATCATATTTCAATGCGTACTGCGTAGTCGCATAAAGGAGGAAATCAACCGATTATGACAATATTTCATGTAGTATCTGCGGCGTCACAACTTACTAATGTTTATCCAATTACTAGATTGTTGGAATACGAGTCACAATTAGTTACAACATAATCTATGTTGCATTCTCTATGTATCAGACAGAAAAAATAGTCTACTGTTAGTTCTGGAATCAGAGATGATGTTTCTTACATGTCTGTCCTATACAAGATATGTGCCAACGAATAACGACTTCTAGATAAATGTTACAGAAATGGAACAGCAAGCTGTCGATCTATTTTACTAAATGTTGTTAGAGTTCAATTCTTGTCGTCTCTCCCATTGTAAGACTAACAGTATTTCACGGAAGACAAGCATTCGAATTTTTCAATCATCATAACAAATGTTCATATTATTGAAAGGTTTTTGAAAACAAGCATAGACGCTAAAATAAAAAACTCATCATGAACTGAAAAGGATATTTTAGAACTGGCGATACGAATTTAACAATAAATTTCTATGTTGTTAAAAATACGAAATTCAAATTTTGACTGTCTAGTTAGAAAATCACGACTGATTCCATATGAACAGTTCTAATATATTGAACTCGGTGTCACATTCTGAACATTTTTCAGAAAACAGAGTGTCTATTATCTATTGCCAACTTAACAATAAATTTTTTGTTCAACTTTATAGTGATATTTTATTCATAGCATTAACTGTGTTGATTAGTTAAAAGTGTTTATACAATCAAGAGAAAATTAAGCATCACTCCAAGTATTATACTTTGAACAAGTCAAAAAGAAAATATAATTATCTTACGAAGCTTTTCGTATAAATATATTGCAAGGAGACGGTGATTGTGTACTACACTAGCATCATAGTTACTACGGAAATGCTTTGATACATTTAATTAAATATGTAAAAGCTTTGATGAAAGTGTAATTATATAAAATGAACACTTTTGTCATAAGAAAAATGTCTGAAATAAAACAATCAATCATGAACGCAAGAAAGATGGATAAGAGTCGGCATATAGTTCAAAAACAAAAACCAATAGAGATATCGGAAGTATTTTTAGAAAAAATAAATATTTACTATCTTTTATAAGTAATAAAAGATAGTTTATTGCTTGTTTTCCTTTTATACGACGGACTAGTATGCACTAGCTACGCTTCACGTAACTGACATACTCACTGTAGCTGCCAGAGAAAAACATTGAAGTCTTGACATCGTCAGCTGGCTTAAATATATATATATGACTGAACAATGACTCAATAGCCGTCATTGCTTGAATCATTTTCCTAAAACTAATGTAGATTTTTTCCTTTTTATAGAATCATGATTGATTTTCTATCACATTAGCATCAATTTTCAAAAACCTCTAAAATTGTTGTTGATTACCCAATTCGTTTGAAAATCGTTTTGTTAAAACGAATGAACATTCTACTTTACAGAAATTCAAGCATATAACAAATAGATTTTTTTTCTAATTCAGTGTGTATAATATTATACAAAGCTTACCAATTTAAAGTGTGCATACTATCAAGTATCACTAATGAAAGATGACAAATCAATAGTTTTCTTCATTATGTATAATAATTTCGTAACCATACTGATCGAAGTGAGAAAAAAAAACGAATTGGTCATCTTTTTTTGACAGACTATTTGTATATTTCATTTAGAGAAGTGCAATGACACATGATATTAGTTTATCTATGTAGATGATATTTTTACATTTTCATGTTATATGTATTGTATGCACAGCATATTGAAGAAGCATGCATATACCATGACATTGTTATGATAATCTGAAAAAATGCTACTTTTGCTGTACGGAAGACTGTTTTTTTAGTTTATTATTTAGAAATTGAACTCTTTTAATAGTTGACAGCGTCTAGTTATAAACGGAAGTTTTGATAAAAATGCACAGAATCATTAACAAATTGTTTTGTCAAGTTGATCGATTATTATTAGAAATAAAACTCCTAGTGGTACTATCAGCTGAAAATATTTCAAACAAAACTCATTTTTCTAGTCAATTTTTTTTTATCTACAATTAAAACCAACGTATGAAAAATGACATAGTATTAATGAAGTCATAGACGAAGTTAAAAACTATTTACTAATTTATATTCATAAATGCATAGAGATTGCCAGAGCAAAACAAACAAAAGAAAAAAGAAATTCTAAGCATGTTTAGTTCTCTCGTGAAATAGCGGAAATTTTTATGATAGATAATTATTTACTGATGTTAGTAATCTAACAACCAAAATTTTGTTTATGTTACATGATCAAGTTTCATTACCAATGCTAGCATTCTGTTCTGTTCAAGCAACAGAGGCAGAAAATGAGTCACACAATCAAGAGCTTAGAATAATATCATTTTGTTCGTTGTATTGAAGACAGATGTTTATGAAAACAAGCTTCTTTATGTTCTTTTATATGCACTGAATCATCAAGTAGAAATATAAGTGAACTAAGTAAAACGGGTTTTTACCAAGATAAAACAAAAGAACTTATTGTTATTAGTAGAGTGTCTAGGATCAATAGATCATACACAAGAGTGCAAAAAAAAACATATCGTTTGTTCGATTTAGTCTTGGCCAAATTGAATCAAATCGAAATTAAAAGTTTTATATTCATTTCGATCTGAAACAAGATATATTAATGTTCATTTAAGACATAATTTGATAAGTAATTGATGCAAGTGTAAGCGTATTAACCAATGAGATCGATCTATTTTCACATATAGTATTAACACAACTTTATATTTTCATAAAAATTTTCCTAGTAGAGTATTCATTTTGAATATAAATAATTTCTATCAGATGATACGCTACACACCTGCCTTCATATACTTGTTACATTCATCATATTCCTGATTGCAAGAATGGAATTAACGAGCACATAAGCAGTCATGTTTCTTTTCCTCTCTTAGTACAGCAAGAACAAGAAAGACGAACGATGAATAATATCTCGTGCTACGTCATCCTTGTATCGTTCCTGTCTAGTAGATGTAAACTGGAAAAATACAGCACTATGCTTATTACTTACATGTAGAGAGAAAGTTTGCCTTACTTGTCTCTTTCTTCTCTTCTATTAAGCATAAAAGAAGCACACTAGAAAGAAAAAAAACGAGTAATTGATGTTTTCTCTTCGGAGCACAAGATATAGCGCATAGGCAAACACAATAGCGATGACTTTTCGAGAGAAAAAGTAGTTTATGGCCAATATGTCATGATCGATTAGCAGATAGCCTGTTATTTCATTCACATTCTTCTATATATCATTTTGAGGTAATAAATAATAATGCTAGGATGAAAACATATTCTTTTCATTGTTTCAATTTTAGCTAAGAAAAAGTAAAATGGATTTTCATTCATTAGTGGGTCACGCTTCGAATATGATGCTGGGCAAACGAAATGATGATAGTATGTCCGATCGGCTTAACTATCGATATACTGTTGGAATTTTGGTTGTTTTTGCAATAATAAATATGAATCGTCTTTATACCGATCAGATCAAATGTTGGGTAAATTTTTTTTGCATTTAATATCTTTCGTTTCTACTATTTTTGATTGAAATTATTTCTTTTTTTTTATTATTGTTTCAATATAGGTACCAGCATTCTTTACACCAAACTATGATGAATATGTTCGATCAGTATGTTTTGTTCAAAATACTTACTATGTTAAACATACAGATAAAACACCAAAATCATTCTCTATTAAAAAAGAAAGTGAAATATTATATTATCAATGGATTCCATTTATTTTATTAGTTAAAGCATTTCTATTCTATATACCACGTATATCATGGAATACATTTGGATTAAAGAGTGGTGTACAAGTATCTGATCTTGTTGAATCATCTTTTGATTATAAACTACCAACAACAGATGCAGTACATCGTCAAATGTGTTTAGATTATGTTGTTGATAGTATTGATCAATACTGTAATGATCATCGACGACAAAATGAAGCACGTAGTCACTTAAATATAATTCAACGAACTTTAATAACTGGATGGTGCTTAACTGGCAAATATCTTGGGAATTATCTTGTTGTTTTATATTTGACAACAAAATTAATGTATATAGGTGTATCATTATTTCAAATACTTCTTTTAAGTGTAATGTTAGGTTCAAATTTTGCTTTTTATGGTATACAAGTACTTGATCGTTTTTTTCGAGGTAGGCAAAAAAACCAAAACATTTCGCTTTTTTGTAAGAGGAAAAAATTTGTTTGATGTATATGTAGGGATTCATTGGGATACAGAATCACGTTTATTTCCAAAAACAACTTTATGTGATTTTACTATTCGTGAATTTGGTCATCCAAAGCGTTCTCATGACTATACTGTTCCATGCGTTTTACCGCACAATTTATTTAACCAACAAATGTTTACTTTTCTTTACTTTTGGTATGCAATTGTTATCTCACTTAATATTGGCGATTTTTTCCTATGGGTGTATGCCATTACTCCACAATATCGTCTTAATTTCGTTCAAAAACGTCTTCATTCAAAAAAGTATCCATTAGCAAAAGAAATCAATGATCAATCAAAAATTATTACATTCACTAATGATTATCTTGAAGCTGATGGTTTTTTTATTCTGTCACTAATTAAAGAAAATAGTTCAGATTATGTTGCAGCTGAAATCGTTCATCGCTTGTACACAGAAAAATTTCTCAAAAGATGTCTCAATCAAACAACAGCAACAAGTATTTATAATGATAGCCAAAGTAAAACAGACAATGATTCTAAACGACATCATCTTTGTTCATTGATATGTTAATATGTCATCCTTTTCTTAAAAGACATGTTTTATTTGATTTTTTTTAAAAAAAAAACATTATCTATTATTGAAGAAAAAGATTTGAACTGTTAATAATATTTGTTTGAAGAAGAATAACACATACAATAATAATCGTCACGAGTATGAAAATAATTTTACCCGGTCGAACAGTTAATCCAAATAGTTTCGCACGCAATTCAGCTGCTGAGAGAAACAATAGAAAACCATCCAGATCAGTGGAACTTATTGCATGATAACCATAAACACGCATTGAAAGACTAATACGATGAAATTTATCACATTTCGATGTTACTCGTGCTGCCTAATAATTTGGTAAGAGAAAAATCTTATAAATATGTAATATTTTTTATAAAAACCTTACTTGTCCAAGACAAAATATAAGAATCGAAAACCAAACTATAGGATATAACACTCGATATGCATATATCATTGGTTCCTTAATTTCATTCGCCATGAATAAGATAATACCTGAACAAAAAATAAAAGTAGTATATTAATTTTCAATGACCTAAGCTATACAAATATCTTGAAAAAAGAACACTTATGAATACTGATATACTTATATAAATAACCTCGTTTTTGAATAATTTTAAAATGAACAAAAATTGATCTATTATTTAGTTTAACAAAATAATCTAATGAAAAAAGTTTAGCTAATAAAAAAAATTTTACCGAGTATTGTACGTTCGAGATAGAAAACAACTAATATTGACATCATTCGTGAAGCTGCACCATTTAATTGACTAATAGATAAGCCAAGATCAAGAATTTGTTTCATAGCTTCAAGAAGATGTATTGATTTTTCTTCTAATCGTGTTCGAATCGATTTACAATAGAAAACAACCATTTCACAATGTGATACAAAATTCATAACAATAGCCAAATGAATACAATTTGATAAAAGTAAACATACAATATCAAGAATAAATAAACTATATCTCACAGACTTTCTAAAGAAAAAAGAAAATAAACAAAATTTTTCAATGTGAAGAAAGTGATTATACCGTTTTAGTTGATTTTTTTTATCAAAAATCAATGGATGTGCAAAATCATTCATTGCATTTGATAATGCATGTGTAGCAACTGATGTAAGAACCCAAAAAGTTCCAATTAGCAAGAATATTCTATTGAAAAAGAAAAAGATAATACAAATATGAGTATGAGGAGCATTAACAAAATCATTTACTTCAATCGTCGAATAACTCGATTTGGACTAAATTGTCGCATATTTTGATCAGCATGAATAAAAACCTATTTATTCTCAACATCAAACAACTGTAATAAATTTCAATATTTAATCATTATTCTTACTTTTTCCATAAGAGAATACATCTGTTCACCTTCTGTAACACGAAAATATATAAAACCAATAATAAAAGCAACAAAATGTAATAAATCAGGTAATATATAAGTAGTAAATATATGACCGCATACATTTGGCTGGATATTAGTAACGTTAATTTTATGAAAAGGTTTTGGAGGTATGAGAGAACTCCAATTTAACACGGTGTGATTTTGGCTCGGTGATAATGTGGTAGCACTAGTTGTTGTTGTCTATTCAAAGACAAGAACAATTTAATTAAACGAGAAACAAAATACAAAAGTCATAAATTTTACTTTGGTATCTGTAACAACATTCAACTTTCCTTGACAAACGACAATTTCATACGTATAATTAAATAATAGTAATATTAAAATAAAAAGAGGATAAATAATATTAAAAATACGCATTAAAATTGATGAACGTCTTAAACTATCGACACCAAATGGCCTCCAACCAATCTTAGAAGAAAGGGAGCGAATATTTCTATATATTAAAAAATATTTAATTGACTTACTAAACATAATAAATTACGAAATGGATGAAGTATTTGTTTTTTACATCTCATTAAACTAAGTGTTGTTGCATTTGGACAACTATTGTCAAGGTCGGAGATCTGGATGAAATAAAAACAAGAATGAAAATATCAATGCTTAGAATTTTGTTTCATTAATCAAACAGAGAAGCGTCAGTATGTATCTCTCTGCTATTGTTATTTTTTTTTTGAGCTTGTTCGATTCGAACCTCATTTAATTCAAACCAATTCCGCAATGTATGACTGAATTTTCTTCTCACCTCGACTTTGACACAACCAAAATCATCATCGTTATTCATTGATTGAGTTATATTGTTATAATGATAATTACTTATTGAAAAGGCTGATGACTGCAATAAAAAATAAACAATCATCACGTAGAAGATGAAGTATTTATTGATTACTTTTAGTGAATTATTGGAATTTTGATTCATTATATTTCTTTAATGTGCAACTAGTTATTACCTTAACGCACTGTACCTCAGACCATATGTAATAGATATTAACTTGTCTTATGACAAATAAAAACATCATGAGAAAAAAAGAATAGAATAAAACATATCTAGATGTTTGCTACTTCTTTGAAAAAAAAACAACAAAGATAGTTTACATCATTCGATGAATGACGAAATTTACATGTTTTCGAATAGTTCACGTGTATGTTGACCTGTTAACTCATCTTTTTCTTTTATTTTTCTTACCCATCCTTATCAACAGTGATATTTTCATGTTGATAACAGCTATCTTTTTTTTTCGACTTTAAACATTTAGATTTTGTTTATCATATATTAGTGGTAAACATAAACTTGGAAATAATTGTTTTTTTTTTCAACCAAAACTATTCAACAATAATAGATAATAATTCAAAAACAGTCTCTGAAGATATCTCCTCCATTTTACTTATTAGATTAGATAAATTCTGATTTTATCTATTACAGATACTAATCATCATGTTTTCCTATAAAATTAATTTAAAATAAAACCCAACTAGATTATGTTGTCTTAGATCAAATAATCCATTTGGCAATAGAATACGCATAGATACAAATACTTGGAATAAGATCATATTATTATTTTGACACAACAAGGACGCAAAAAAAGAAACAAAATATAAGCTAAGTAATAGAAGTACAGTCCAATATATGACCTTCATCTAAAATGACGCTTTCAATCAGAATAATTTTACATTGATCAGAAGCAGTCGCGTTAGATGCCATTAGATCATGCACATCATCCACTATTTACTGATAATACATATAGACACATACTTAGCTGTCTTATTTTTTGTTTCATATGGATATCAATATTTCCGGGGGCACATTAGTGAAGAAATCCAAAGAATATGTGTACTTGTCACAATAATATCATTGAAAACTTTTCTTTCACGTCTAGATAACTCAGATAAATATACATGTACATGTATAATGTTTTTCTAATATTCATGACCTATTCTTGATCTGCTGATGTGCAAAGTACCGTATCATCTTTTGAATATGTAAAGACAGCTGTTATTTAAGTTAGGGTCCTTTATTGGTCTTATATACATATATATATATATATACATATGAATAGAAAGAGCGATAGAAAGAGAGAACGAGCGATAAATACATCGAAAAAAAATGCTTAGTACTCAATCTATTGATAAGATAGAAAACCATAGAAAATAGAAACAAATGAAACGAGAGAAATATATTCATAGCTATATCAGTATCATTATACAGTGTCTTAGTTGTTAATTAGACATTTTTTTGGTGTGTTCTGACAAACAATTGATAATTTTAAGATGCCGTTTGATGATTCTCAAAGTGTTAGTTCCGTTCTTCTTTGTGATAATTCTTATATTTCACGGCATGATAAAATAAATGAATCTGTATCTTCATCATTTAATATACCAATTCGACATAATGTAAAATGGAGGGTACGAAATAGTATATCAAGTGCTAGTCTTCAACCATATGGATCAAGTTTTCGCCGTAACGGAACGAATACTTCATCAACGAATTCTGAACATTCATCAACATTGTCATTTCCATTATTTCGTCAATATTATTTAATGCGTAGTTCATTGAAACAAAAACGACAACGGTTATTAGTTAAAAAAGTCAATGCTAATTCTACTTCAGTATCTAAAAAACTTCATGAAGCACCCCGTATTGAAACTAAACATGTGATTATAACAATCTTCATTACAATTACATGTGCCTTTCTTTTAATATCTATGATTTTTCTTGACTTCGTTTATTTAAATGAAAGTATGTCTAATACATCTAATTATACATTGTTATCTAGTCATAATAGCTTATGTTTTCATTATTCTAAAATATGTATTTTAAAAGGATCAGTAATAATTGTATTTATTTTTATAACAATAATATTATGTTATAGTATTTTAACATTATATATTCGTGCAAAACGTCATTCACGTGTACTCGAACATAAAACAAATGAATTAGAAAAAGAAAAATGTTTAACACAAAAATTACTTCATCAAATTTTACCACCATGTGTAGCAAAAGATTTAATTAATGGACGAAAAGCACCAGCTGAGTATTATGATTCAGTTACTGTTTATTTTTCAGATATTGTTGGATTTACTGCTATAGCAAGGTAAGATTTTTTGTGAAAGAAAATTTTTGTGTTTTTTTATTGTTGTTTTTCTTGAATAATTATTTTCTTTAGTATGTGTTCACCAAATGAAACATGTAATATGTTAAACCAACTTTATTCTATATTTGATTCACTGTTGGAAAATTTTGATGTTTATAAAGTTGAAACAATTGGAGATGCATATATGGTTGTTTCTGGAGCGCCAGAAAGAAATGGTGACAAAGTAAATATCTATATCTAAAAAAAGTATCTATCTGATTAAAGAGTATAATTCTTTCGTCTGTTAAAGCATCCTAATGAGGTTGTCAATATGTCGTTAAGTTTATTGCGTGGTAAACAACAAGTCCGTGTACCACGTACATCTGCTGAACTTATGCTACGCGTTGGCATTCATACAGGTAATTACTTTAATCATTACTATCAGAAAAACAACAAAATTAATTCATACACTATTTTTCGAAGATGATTATAATTAGTTTATTTTTAAGACTTGAGATTTAACATTGTTTTTGTATTCAAAATTTATTTTATTTATGCATTATAAGATCAAAGTCTAAATGTTGTCGTTTTGACTTCTATATCTGGATGCCTATTGTATTTTTCTAGACAGTATCATACTAGTTATCCACGTTCTTTCTATCACTTAAAAGTCTACTACCTCGGCATCAATAACAACCATATAAATATACAGAGACGACTGGTTATTATCATTTGTCCCTGGCATTGACAAAAAAAAACACTCTTTACTTCATTCCAATCCATCATATTTCTTTCAACAAGCCAGAACATGTCGAGAAAAACAATTTACCTTTTACTTGTCATAACATAAAAGCTATTTAATAACAGATATATCAAAATAAGATAATTTTATGTAAGTCTCGATAGAGAAGAAAAACATAAAAAAAATCGTTTAAGTAGGATTTCTTCGTTATCAGCTTTATAGATGGCTTGATAGAATAAATATTATAGGACCTGTATGTGCTGCGGTAATTGGATCAAAAATGCCTCGTTATTGCATGTTTGGTGATACAGTAAATGTTGCGAATAGAATGGAATCAACTGGTTTACCTGAACGAATCCATTTAAGTGATGATACATATAAACGTATAAAAAATCGAGAACAATATGTATTTGAAGAACGAGGTGAAATCGAAATTAAAGGCAAAGGTTTAATGTATACATATTTTTTATTGGCTCGAAAAACAAATGAAAATGAAACGAAATCACGTTCAGCTACGGTAACTAATCAACAGGCATGAATCTATATTTCTTTATATTACGATAATTTATTGTTTTGTGTCTCACTGTTTTGTCTTTCCATCAAATATAAATCTTCATAAATATATTTTAGAAATCTCGAAATTTATTTCACTTTGTAAATGTTCATCATAGAATGCCAATCAAATTGTAAATCGAGTAACAAAACCATATGTTATTCAATTTGATCTTATGATGGGAAACATTATCGGACGTCACCTTGCAATTCAATGATTGTTTTTACCTATAGATATTACAAAGTATTCTGATAAAAAAACCTAAAAGGATTTGGATTTTCATTAATATTTAATTAAGCTATAGAATTTTTAACATCTATTTTCCAGCTATCTTAGCTTTTCGTAAAACTCATATGATCAGATTTTATTAGAAACTTTATGCATATAAAGAATTCAGCTAAAATAGCGTCCATAGAGAAACGTAGGAGTTTTGAATAAAGGCTCATTGTAATATGAAACTTGCAAAAAATGTATGTTGTATACACTACCCATAGAAAAACGTCTATACCTTGAAAGTCTCATATCTTAATGAGACTTTGCCTAAAATTTCTGCATTTTTTATGAAAGCTGATCTAGTTGAGTTCTGTATATATGCAAAGTCTCATATTGAAATTCGAAACTACCATTTTTCCAAAACCCCGAGGTGCTTTAGAAAATAGACATAGTAGAGATTCGATAGCTTAGTTACATATTAATACGAATCGAAATCCTTTTAGATTTTTTTTAGAACACTATGTAGTATGTATAAGCAAAAAACTATTGAAATTGAAAGATGACATCTGGAGGGGTTCTTCTGTTAGTTAGTACTAAGTGTCCATAATTGATCCATGTTCAAGACATATTTCAAAGAGAACACTTGTCATTTTACCAAACAAATTAACATTGTTTGCATGAGTTTCATTGTTTATTCACAAACAAAGAATAATTTTATTTTTAAAAGTTGAAGAAAATTTGAGATCGAATTCTCAGACTTAGGAGAATGTATTTCTTCATACAATCCTTTTATAGTATTGTAACATGAATTGCTGATTGGTTAAACACATATAATTACTCATGAAATGAAAATAATTTTAAAGATATTTTATAATAATGTATATTTTCATTGCAAGAAAAAACTTGATTTTTTCCTCATTTGTTACTATCCGTGTGGCGATGAAACTAATTTTAGACAGTGTGAACAATAATAAACTTTTCGACTACACATAACTTAAATCATTTGATACGAGAAAAGTTCAAAAATATTTCTTGAACTCAAAACTGGAACCGGTAAAAATGGTTAGACCGTTCGATATATTATCATCAGTCATTATTCTTCATCTCTCTAATTCTATAACACTGAAGTCAATCTCTGACATTAGCCAAATCTACGTCCCAATCGCTACATTAATGATATAAAAGTCGTTTTTTTTATTGCTTGTTACTATTTATTTCCGTCATTTTTTTTGTCTGTTCTTATCTATTGTTGAACAGAAAATTTTATAGAACTACAAATACTATCTCAGCTTTCGACATTCATTAACACTTCGTAAGGCATGTATGTTATTACTTGTATATTTAATCTGCTTCTGATATTACATTTACAGTGTTATCTCTTATATCTTTGCGAATTAAATCCTATAAACTGTGGGGATAGATAAATTTATCATAACTGAAACATTAAACGACTATTCGATTTTGTTTTGATAATAGAACTTGATATGAAAGTGACTTGATAAAATATGGTATATTTTGATGAATCTTGACTAAATGGAATAGCTCAGTGCATCTTTCCTCATAGGAATATTCTTTGACATCAGTAATAAGTGCTTGATTTATGGACACTATTTTGTAAAAACAAACACGTAGAAGATGAAAATGAAAATCATATGACCCAGTAAGGAATTCTCTACCACACCGACCGTTTACGGTTACCCCTTACGATTCTGCTTGAACTTATTATAATGCCATATTTTATTTCAATTTTTCAAGAAGTTATAAATTATAGATAATGGAATTGCATAATATTAAAATAAGTGATTGATTCTAGATTAATCAGTAACTATTCAAATGATAAAAACAAGGAAATTATACTAACAACAAACATTCTTCGAAGACATAGTGATAGATAATAGAGTTTAACAAAATATTTTAATCGTCGTTAATAAGTCGGAAAGGTTAATGACATAGATTTGACCTATTTCTTACATATAAGAAATAAAAAAGTTACCAGATACAACGACATTGTGTGTCTTGCTATCCAAACTAATAGTTTGAATACACTGCGAGTGTTAATCAGACATTCCTTTACACAAAACCGTCGTTTTATTTCATTAGTCTTCTCTAAATTGCTATGAACATTTTTGAAAATAAAAGCAAGGAATGCTTATTATTTTGGGACGACTTTATCCATCGATATTTTTGATGAATACCTTTTCGAGTCATAAAATGTCTTGTTAAGTAATAAATCAATTGTTTACTTAATAAAAATATTTTTATGAAATCTAGTTATAAGAAAATCGTTTTTTTTTTGAATTACTAAAATTATATTTATCTAGACATGTTCCAACTTATCAAAACAATAATAACTGAATTTTTTCTTACGATGATGACAGACAAATATTCAACAACAAAAACAAAATATAAATATAGGAAACAGAAATTTGTTTTTCACTAAAAATTCAAACATGAGAAGATTCAAAATAAATGACGCATCGTACCATGTAAAATCCATTCAATTGGTTTGTAAGGTCAAGTAACAGCTGCAATAACACATTTATTTGTCATTGATCTATAGATAGGTTTTTTTTTTCTTTAATGTAACTCTTTTATATTTCTCACAATTATTAGTCTCTAGACAACAATAATGTTTTTCCTTCAATTCACATATGACAACATTAATACCATTTATTTGTATTTTAATGTCTTGCACATACATACTAGAATATATTCAAAATTTAACAAATTCATATGTTATACAATTCAAATTTGATAATAGAAATTGCTAATAAAATTGAATACATACATACACTTTCGAGAGTTTAATTATATAAAGGAAAAAATTATATTGAACGTCACTTTCAATTAAGACTTTTCCGGCTTTTCATGGCACTAATGAAGGAGAAAAGACTAAAGGTCCAAACAATATTTAGTCTTAATGATGAAATAGACATTAGCTTCATTGCCAGAATTATATTAACAGAGTATTTGAAATGTCATGAAAAAAAAATGGCCTAATATGAGAAAATAATCGAGCGTCTATATCAAGCAGCAAATAATCGTAATGTCAATGTAGAAGATTATTCGAACGTATGGTAATATGAATAAAACAAATGAATGGTAGACTTAGAAAAATGATACAAGAAGATAAGTTATCAGAAAGTCTTTTCGGTCTGTAGAACGTTCATTTCATGCTATAGATAATGACTGCTTGTGTGTGTTTCAATTTGAGTCTTTGATTTCTGTTGTTTTATTAATGCAAAGGTTCAACTTATTGTTGAATACCTTACTTATATCGATCTATTATCCTGATAATGGAAACTTGATGAGTTCTTCATACAATATTTCCTTTTGAGCATAAAGAATTATGATTCTTAAAATTTATTTGTTGTTTAAGAATAGTTTTTCTTTTACTCTTTCCTTATTTTATAAATATTTATTTATTTTACGATGTTTCGAAGGATACCTCCTTCTTCGTCAGGTATTTTTATTTTATAAACAAAACTAATTTATAAATGGAGAGCATACGTATATATACACAAAAATGATAGTTCCTTTTTCTTTTTTCTTTTTCTTCTCGAATTTTTCAATAGTGGAACGAACGACAAGACGATAACACTGGAACAAAGAAAACATTTCAGCTATTTTCTTCTTCGTTTGTTCCACTTTTGAAAAATTCGAGAAGAAAAAGAAAAAAGAAAAAGGAACTATCATTTTTGTGTATATATACGTGTGCTCTCCATTTATAAATTAGTTTTGTTTATAAAATAAAAATACCTGACGAAGAAGGAAGTATCCTTCGAAGCGTCGTAAAATAAATAAATAAAAAAAAAAGAAAAACTATTCCTCAACAACAATTATTATGTCCTTCCTAACCATTACACAGTTAAACTTTATTTTTATGCAGAAAGTTTAAAAGTTTATCTTGATATTTCTTTTCTGTCAATGATAATGTGTTTTCATAATTGCGATATTTTTCTTGTGTTTAATGACTAATACAAAAAATATTCGAATCAATGTTAATACTGAACAGTCTTCGATATAGACGTGTGCACTATTTCTCAGGTAACAATGAAGTATTTTTAGCAATATTAGCCTTATTGTTGGTATCTTAGAAAAAAAAAGCAACTGGTCCTATTTATTGTAGTTCGTGTTCTTTTTCTTTTCTTCGCTTCAAGAACAGCATATGTCTTGTTAGCTTTTTCTGTACAAGAAAGAAGACGTTTGTCCCACATATGTTGATTACTACTTTCTTTCCTCTTATCTTTTCATCGATTGGAAACAGCATGCGAAGAATTTTTCTCTGTTTACTTTTTATCCGGTTGCATATCGACATATTGTCCTAGCAGATATTTTTTGGGCATTAAGCAAAAAAAGAGAAACCTTCGCCGATAGTAGAAAACACTGATAAGTAGATCAAAATTCATTTTTAATCATTGTTGAAATTTCACTAAATAAATAATTCTTATTGTTGTTTATTTATTCAAGATAATTTTGGATTTTTTTTTGATTTATTCATCTAAAAAAACTCATAAATTGTGTAGCATGATCTACCACTACTAGTTTCACTTTGGCTCTGGCAAATAAGTTATATCTGGATTATTGTTATTATTGTTGTCGGATACAACGAATAAGAATTAACTTAGAATAAATCTTTCTGACCGTAAAAATCAGTATTATGAAGAAAACTCATCACGGCAAAAACGACATGATAACAACCGAAACAACCGTCTCAGATGCGAGAGCTGTTATCCAACGAAATATTCAACTTATGCGTATAACACTTGCTC